TGCGGGCGCCGCGGCCGGGCCTAGCAGGGTGCGGGCCCCCGGCCACTCGCCGTCTCTGACAAAGGAGGTGCGGGCGTCAAAACCGCCTCTCCCGCTCCGCTGACACCTGGTAAACACCGGCGGCTGTGCCGTGGGTGGCGGGGGAAATGTCAGCGGCAGAAGGGGCCGATAGGGGTGCGACGCAATAAATAATCGCTATTTATAAATTTAGGAAGCGCCTTAGCTCCCGCGGTTGTCTTTCCCGCGTTTTGTTGGCTTGGTTGTGGTTTATTTCCCTCCACAAACTCGCTTTGCCAGAGGCCAGGGAAGTGCTGCCGCTTGAGGAAAACCTCTGTCCAAGACTTAAGTGGGGCTCCGCTTCCAAAAAAAAAGCTCTTAATCCTTCCCAGTCCTTCTAGAGATGGATACAGGCCTAAGTGTGAGACTGCTAGGCGCTTTTGAGACCCTGTGGTGGTCACAGCCTGGTTAAAGAATGTTAATTACTCTCCTCCCCTTATTGCACGTGCTTCTCCATAGAGGCACCTATTAAATTCCAGTCTGGAATGGGACTCATCCGGGGGGGCTTCCATTCTGGATTTGTTATCCTTATTGCATCTGGACTGTGGTTTTGGGTTAAAACGTTGCAAAGACTTAAGGAGGAGCAGCGTAGCAAAGTCTGGTAAACTGGTGTAGCTCTTGCCAGGCTAGAGGGGCTCCACCAGCTTACAGTGCTCTAGGACAGCTTTGGACTGGGGACAATGCTGTTCAGAACAAGTCCTTCCTGGCTGTGTTCTGTTTACACAGTCACTGGTGTCTGCAAATCACGGGGGACTGCTCAGCTTGCTTTGCGGGAGAAGAAAAGTTAGATGATGTGGGGCTGTGGGTGAGTTTGCCCTTTTAAAGCGTAGCAGAGACTGACAGTTTGTTCGTGTCTGTGGTATTTCACAGGTTACTCTTTTCAGGAGTCTTATTTGGCCACTGAATTATTTCTGGGTTAACAAAGCGTGTCACTTCTCGGTTCTTATCAGGCCTTTTGAGTACTCTTTGCACTCTGATTTCCAAGCACATGACTTTGTTTGTTTGTTTGTTTTTACCATAAATAGTACTTTTAGCATCTTCAAGAAATAGTTGGCCAACAGTCTTTGGCAAGCAGCTATCTTACCGAGGCAGGAAAGGTTCAGAAGTACTCATGTTTATAAACAATGTCACGCTCTGAAGCTCCTCCGTGTGAGGACAGCGTGCGTAGGGAACGAGAGGGGAGGAAGATATCGCTGGTGAGTTCAGTTAAAGAGTTGAGGTCTTTTGGTGGACTGGGCAGGAGAGCGCTTACCTTCCTTAGGAGGGACCTAAAGAGATTGGTGAGCAGAGCGGGAAATCGTTGGAAATGAGGAATGGGTAAGGGAAAAACAAATACACTCATCATTTCTGTTGGGGGGAAGAACTGGGCGTATATGCCTTGGAAACATCTACTGGCTTTTGCAGCCTTTCTCCCCTTTACCTGCATGTGCCTCCTAATTAGTGATTTTCTCAATGCATCGTGCGCTTTCCTCAGGTAGTAGCTACTAGAATTATTTTTGTTTTCAGAATATCTTTTTCTTTTGTGTTTTCCCTTTCAATAGAAACTGATGAGTGGACCTTTTGTCAGTGTTTTATTACAAGTTACCCAGGGTTCTCAGAGGATTTTAACCTTCCATGAGAAAATAAAAGAAGTTTTACATTGATGGACTCTGATGTGGGTAGATTTTATAAGGACTGCAAGAAAATCGTGGCTCTTAGTATCTATAGTTTTGTACTATATAATAATAAGTGATGGCTGCAAAAGTAATAGTTTGGGAGGAGGGTTTACAGAGTGGTTTTAAATTTAATCCATCTAAGCAAGGAGGATGTTGCCTATAAAAGGTTCTTACCCTGTTATGTAATGTTAGCGGCCTGAATTTTCATTCAAGTGTCAGTGGTTTGTCAAAATTCATGGTGTTGGATCCTAGAGTTGAGATATTTCATCCAAGGCTATGAAACTTTCAGCAGTGGGTTTTCATCCTGGAGTCGTTTTAAGTTGGTGACCTAAACCTGTTCTAAACTTAAAGCTGAACTCTGTGCACTCTAATACAAGCTATTTCATTCTTTAGCTGCTTGCATTGGTGGCAGCACATGGAGAATCTGGATCAGGGACCATACTAGCTAAAAATTGTTCAAAAACCGTTGTCCCACAGAGGTTGTCACTGTCACAATCCTGAGCATCAGTGCGGAGTGGGATTATTTTTAGACAGCTATGCAAGCAGAAATTCTCCTTCATATTAATCCCTTATCTGAAGTTTTTGCGAGTTTCTAGGTATGATGGTAGCACAATTTAAGTTGCACCCTATCTGGCTTTGGCTGTGTGTTTCTGGGATATGAAGAAAAATGCCTGGGTATAGGAAGATAATCCAGTCCATGGAAATGATCTGCCGTTACTGTCTCCTGTATAGGTCAAAGATTGATGGAGAAAGAATCTGAAACCTACAGTGTATTTTGTATTGAGCTGGCATTCTTGGTGGTGAAGAATAGCGGAGGTGAGGCATGGGTTGTTACTTGTATTTTAATAAATGAGACTGAGCTGACTTTTTTTAATCCTGGTATTATGTCCCAGCAGATGGAAAGTGCTGAGCTCAGTCCCAGGTGGGGAGGCAAAGCATCAATCTCACTGTAGTAATGTGCCTTATTTTTTTGCAGTGAAAGCAGCGTCTTGTGTGTGCAGAAGGGCAGTGTTTAATCTTTGCTTTGCTCTGGAAGAGTCAACAAGATAGACAAGGTGTAAGTCAGGTTTCAGCGTTTGGAGTCACAGGTCCAAATCCAATGCTACCCTGAAATGAAGATGTATCTTTGGGCTTATGAAAACTCTCCTTGGGTCTCCATGTGTAGGAATGCATGTGTTGGAATACTAGAAGTGTGAAAGATTTTCACTGTGCTCCCCTGAACCCCTGTTCTTGGGATTTGTTCTTCCCCTCCTTAACGCTGTATAGGGAAGGAATGGATGGAAATAAAAACTGTAATGCTAGTCGAGCCAAAGAATTTCTTGCCTGGCAAGCAGTGAGCTAATGGGTCTTTGTATTGGCCTATTATTCTCTTTAATTGAAACAAGATGGTTTATAATGCTTGTAGCAGCTCATATAGCCTGTAACAGATCTCTGGGAGACTCAGCCGCAAGTGGGTTGCAAATACAGCCCTTGTAGCTTAATCAGGAGGCACACGATTGAAGAGTACGCTTAACTAGGACACCTCCCGGGAAATCGATGCAGCATGGTGTCTGCAAGGATCAGGACAAAGCACAAAACTTGTTGAATGGCAGCAAAAGTTATGGGAATGCCAGTTGTGAAGTAATGCTCAGCCAGATGTGAAACGGGAGAGGATTTCCGAGCAGGTTGCCAACTAAGGATTAGAAGTGGGGACTGTCTTGTATTCTGTATTCATTAAGATATTTTATTCCTCTGCACATTTCTAGGCTGTTTTAAATGACTAAATACTACTGGTCTGACTTAAGACAATGGGCAGCTCAGTGAACTGCAAAAACAAAAGGGAGATCAGCAAATGCTAGAACATCTTTGTGAGGCGGGCTGTGACAGACAATCAGCTGAGGACTTTTCACAGATAGATTCTGTAAAACAAATTTGTATCAAAGATGTTGCTGGGTGATATATTCTGCAACATTATAGCAGTTTGGTAAGGTATCTGCTACTTGAGCTACATTTTGAGGGAAAAGCATTGAGGATTTCAGAGGGCCAGAAGTCTTGAAAAAGTTGGCCAACTTGCATTTTAGAAGGTAATATTTTGGTACATTTGGCTTGGATTTCCATTTTTGCTTTGTGGAAATATTAACATTTCCTGTGCTTTTTTCTGCAGCTTCTGAGACATTTAAATGGTCTTCATAGAATTGTTTAGGTTGGGAAAGCCCTTTAAGATCATCAAGTCCAGCTGTTCCCCTAACCCTGCCATCGCACCACTAAACCCTGTCTGCCCAGCTTTTAAATCCCTCCAGGGATGGGGACTTGACCCCTTCCCTGGGCAGCCCCTTCCAGTGCTTGACAGCCCTTGTGGGGAAGGAACTTTTCACAATGTCCAACCTAAACCTGCCCTGGCACAACTTGAGGCCATTTTCCCTCATCCCATCGCCTGTTTCCTGGGAGCAGACCCTGACCCCTGCCAGCTCCCCCTCCTGTCAGGCAGTTGTAGGGAGTGATAAGGGCTCCCCTCAGCCTCCTCTTCTCCAGGCTGAACACCCCCAGCTCCTCCAGCCACTCCCCATTGGCCTTGGGCTCCAGACCCCTCCCCAGCTCCATTGCCCTTCTCTGGACACGCTCCAGCCCCCCCAGGTCCTTCTGGGAGGGAGGGGCCCAACACTGAACCCAGCATTCGAGGGGTAGCCTCACCAGTGCCCAGGACAGGGGCACAGTCCCTGCCCTGCTCCTGCTGTCCACACCATTCCTGATACAAGCCAGGATGCCGTTGGCCCTCTTGGCCACCTGGGCACCCTGCTGGCTCATATTCAGCTGCCTGTCGACCAACACCCCCAGGTCCTTTTCTGCCGGGCAGCTTTCCAGCCACTCTTCCCCATGCCTGTGGCATTGCATCGGGTTGTTTTGACCCCAGTGCAGGACCCGGCCCTTGGCCTTGTTGACCCTCACCCAATTGGCCTGGGCCCATGGATCCAGCCTGGCTAGCTTCCTCTACAGAGCCCTCCTCCCCTCCAGCAGATCCACACTCCCGCCCAACTTGGTGTCATCTGCAAACTGAGTGAGGGTGCCCTCAATCCCCTTGTCCAGGTCATTGATAAAGATATTAAACAAGAGTGGCCCCAATACTGACCTTGGGGGACACCGCTTGTGTCTGGCCGCCAACTGGATTTAACTCCGTTGACCACAACTCTCTGGGCTTGGCCATCCAGACAGTTTTTTACCCAGCAAAGCCTATGCCTGCCCAAGCCATGACCAGCCAGTTTCTCCAGGAGAATGCTGTGGGAAACAGCATCAAAGGCTTTACTGAAGTCCAGGCAAACAACATCCGCAGCCTTTTCCTCATCCACTGGGCGGGTCACCTGGTCATAGAAGGAGATCAGGTTGGTCAAGCAGGACCTACCTTTCATGAACCCATGCTGACTGGGCCTGATCCCCCTGGTTGACCTGCATGTGCCAAATTCTCTCAGTTCTGCTCAATTCAGCTTTAGAAACTAGTAGATAATTGCGTGATAATCAATAGCCTGTTCTTGAAATCCAGTTACTTTGCTTTTTAAGCCTTTCTGCTAATAAACAGTCATTCTTGCTTGTGTGCTTGTAAGGTTGGTGGGTTTGTATCCCTTGACACCCTGCCTTTAAATCTCCAAGAACATAAAAACTTTTTTCTACTTTTTGACCTGGTTTCTAGACCTGTGTCGTGTACTGTATACCAAGTCATGCATAAGAATACATCAATCACTGGTGTACGTGTCATGTAACAGTAAGTGGACACCCTTAACGGCATGGGATTGGATAGGCTTTCGCATTTTTCCATTGTATATTTGTTTTCAGTCTTCTCAGCCTGTGCACCCTACCCCGAGTCCCTGTGTCTTGGTATTTCCGCCAGTCTGACAGTTGGCTTGCCATGTTTGAGACCTGGATTTATCCTGAAATATTTTCCTTCAAATGAGATCGAAGTCTGAAATAAGCTGGAAAATCTTGTGGCCAGCAGAAATTCAAGGAGTCAGCCAAACTATGCCTCAAATGAACTTTGTTGTTACATTCTTGTTTCTGTTACGTTGGTGAGGGGCCATTCCACTCTTCTGAAATATTATCCAAAATGTGTGTCTGACCTGAAGCCTCCTTTTTTTTTTTTTTTCTTTTTTTTTCCCCCCTAACAACATGCTTATAGCTCAGGAGGAAATTGCTATGGTTTTTCATAATAGTTCATGGAAAGCTACCTCTACCTTTCAGTGGATCTTCCATTAGCAGCCACTCCCTGAGCTGGGAGGCTGCATACTATCAACCACTCCTGCTCATCTACAAATCCAGAAAGCTGGGAGGTTTTGTTGCTTATCAGCTCCTTGCTGGATTATCAACTTTGAAATGATTAGTTCATGGTAGCTGGGGAACCTGCAGTTGAAATGACCCATAGGACAATGAGTGTGAGTAGCTGTGTGAGGAGTTAGTATCTGTACTTTCAAGCAACTTCTTGAAAAGGTTGATATCCTGATGTTTTTATCATTGCCAATGTGATTATTTTTTCCTGACAGTGGATGAGATGTAAGTGTACATGAGAGTTACCCAACAACCACCTTGAAAACCTGCATCCTCAGTTGTGGCCTCTTCCTACTTTCTGAGCACAATATTTGTTTGTTTGACATTTGTGTACATGCAAAATACAGTTACTACTTTCCAGTTGTTTATTATTAAGAGTGATGCTTGCAGTTGTAGCTGTGGTACACATTTAAAGATGTCTTCGTATCCCATACATGAAATAGGGTGTTCAAGTAACAATTGGTTTGGGTGACTTGATTTTTCCACTAAATAAATCTATTGTTTTATTTGGAGGGGGGGAATGAGAGTCTTTCTGCATTGCTATCGCAAAGCCTTCTAGTCTTTTGCTTTATCTTTTTATAGAATCACAGAATCATTGAGGTTGGAAAAGCCCTTTAAGATCATCAAGCCCAACCTAACCCTGCCATCCCACTACTAAACCCTGTCCCTAAGCACCGCGTCTGCCTGGCTTTTAAATACCCCCTGGGATGGGGACTCAACCCCTGCACTGGGCAGCCCCTTCCAGTGCCTGACAGCCCTTTCAGGGGAGGAATTTTTCCCAATGTCCAACCTAAATCTGCCCTGGCACAACTTGAGGCCGTTTCCTCTTACCCATTACCTGGGAGAAGAGATGAACAGCCACCTCACTACAACCTGCTTTCAGGTAGTTGTAGAGGGCGATAAGAGAGACTAAATTCAGGCCTGTTTGTAGTTGACATTTTACACCCAGCGCAGAAAACTACTTTTTATCCCTCTTTGGAAAGAAATAGACTAAGCAAGAACAGTCCTTCAGCTGCGATGCTTTCACAAGGTGGTGCTTGTGACTTTGCCCCTTGTATATTGGTGCTTTGAAGTCAATAGGAGATTATCCTCCTGCCCCGTTGATTCCCTTGGCTTTTTGAGCAGGAGATGATCCAAGCGTGGAAATGCAGAGGGAATCAAGCTCCTGTTGAGTCACTCTGAATTTCTGCTGGATGACAGCTCATTTGCATGTGTTGTAGGCACCGAAGTTACGAATTGTGCTAAGTTGAGCTCTTGAGAGCCAAAAGACTCAAGTAGTTCATACTGTGATTTAAACAGAAGGGCTTTTTGGAACTTGGGGAATTTTAAGTCAAAGTTGCGAGTGCTATGTTCTCATGTGCCTGACACGCAGGTCACACCATTTAAAAATAAATAAAACCCAGGACCGGGTCAGCCACAGTGCATGCTTGTATGTGTGTGTTAAATCCCAGGGAAAGCGTCTTTTGTGGCCCCCAACAGATTTCCCTGAGGATGGGACTGGTTATTTTAGGACTCGCTTCAAAATGCTACCATTTTTTTAAAGGGTTTCAGGCTATGCTCGCTAGAAAAAACAATTGATAGTGGGCTGAAGCCTGGTGAAAATTTTCATTTTTCTTCTCACTTAGGGAGGAGGGTCCCTTAAAATAGGCAAAAAAAAGTGTTGGGCTACAGTTTGTATGTTCTAGTTGGCCGTTAGGATTTTATTTTTTTTTTTCCATTCTGAAATTTCATAAGCCAGCTTCATTCATCTCATTTCTTTTGTTTTTGGCGTGTAGTGTGTTTTGATTTTTCTGTTTTGTCTCAGAAGAAAACATCCGGTGCTGTGACGCTCATTTGCTTTTGCTGCTGCCAAGACAGGGCTGGTTTCAGAATGACTGTTCAGCGTCAGAAGAGAAGTCCTAGATGTTGCAGGAGCGGATTGACTGACTTTAGCTGTCGGAAGCGCTGCGTTTTGAAGATGGCCAGATAGACAAAAGTCTTCTAGAGTATCTCCCATGGAAATGCTGCCTAGTGATATGCCTAGTTCTCCTGAAATGAAAGTCTCTTGGTCAGTTGTGCCGTAGGTGCGTGCACCTGACGTGACGCTGCACCCACCTGCAGCAGCAGTGCATTTAGTGTGTTAATTTACTGGTTTATTATTTGGGGAGGAGATTGTGAACCATCATATCTTAGCGTGTGTTCCCCTTGACTCTTCTTTCACTTGCTGCTGGTTTCTGAATGGAAACTACCTACACAGCTTGGAGGTTTAACAAAAATGCTCTGTGCAGATGAGTTGGGTTTTGGTTTGCCTGGGAAAAAAATGAGGTAGAGAGAACCCTCCGATCGATTTGGAGTCCCCACTGCTGAGTAATAAGAGGATTTTGGGACAAGAATATGGAGTAATTGAGGTGGTATTGATGTGGTACGGAGCATCCGCCCCTGCAATGGAGAATGCAGTGCAAAGTGCTGAAACTGTGGTGAAAGTCACCTTGAAAACAGTGTCAGGGGTGTGATGTTAGGTCTCCATTCAAAAGGCAGACACTCAGGCTGGGGAAATACCTATTAGAAGTGAAAATGCATGGTAAGTGTCTTCCTTCTTGTTTGAGCAAAAGAAAACATCCAGAATATGTAGAAATCAGGAACATCTGGCTGTTTCTCTGTAATGAAAGGAAGAGGGCAGTCTGGAGCTTGATCTCTGGATGGAATGGGGGAGAATGGGTCCAGTCCTGGTTTGCTAGAGGTGAGGCTTTGCTTTTGAGGTTTGCTTTCAAGTGCTGAGAGGGGGAGGTGAATAAGCAAGTAAACCCTGTGTTTTTCAGTGGAAACAGTGAAGCACCTCTCCTTAGGAGAGGCTGATACAGGCAGATGGGCAACAGGTAACAGGTAAGAAAGGCTGTAGAAGTGTAATGGTAGTAAGGGGTGAGACTCAATGAGGGTTAAACTAAGCTTAACCCATTTTCGGTACCCTTCACAGTGCATACATTTGGAGGAGAGTTTTGTAAAGCTTTAATTTTTCTGTAGAAGGGATGGAGACTGCTGTTTTGATGGTTATTTTCTTGTTCAAGGACTCATTTCTATAAATTGCATGGGGGGTAGTTTGGGAGGGGCATGACTTGGGTCCCCAATGTATGTATTTTCTGTCTAACAGATTTAATGGTTTACTTCCTTAGGCTGATAGAAGCTGGATCAATGTGTCAGCTCCTGCTTTTATTCAAAGAGAATGACTTACTAGTTACCTCAACGGCTTACACTAGGCACAGTGCAATGTCTGCTTTTCGTTAACGTTTTCTGTTAATTTAAAGAGCCTCTTTATTCTTTCAGATATGTTTTAATGGAGCAGGCTGCAGGTCTGGCTTATGCCTTTTACCATTTCTGCTACATCCATAGCACTCAAGTTTGCATACATGTTTTAGCATCTTTGTTGAATGCAAGTGTTGCTTGTCAGTTGTGTTAGTCATAAGCTGTAAGTCATTTATTCTTCTTTTCTTTTTAATCTTTAGTTTGTTAGATACATGGACATAGATGGTTTTGTTTTGTTAATTTTTACACCACATCTTTTCTGTACTTCAGGTTGACTCCTCACTGCACTGTGAAAACCATTAGGAAAAAGTCCTTGGGGTTAAAACCCAGGACTCCACAGTGTTACCTGCATTCGGGGCTAGAAATTAATTTAAATGGCGACTGATCTGTCTGAAGCTGAACCCGTGCATCATAAGGCGCTTCCACTCTTAACGGGAGCTCAGCTGATCCACACGGACAAGTTAAGTGAGGTAGGGGCTGGCCCATTCTCCAAGTTTTTCTCCCTTACTTGTAGGAAACTCGATTGGGAGTCTGATAAACCCTTTAGGCACTCTCCTTCCCCTCCCTGCTTTCCCCGAGATGTTATATTTGTCAAAATTCTCAAACGATCACCTCATGTAATTTGGCATTGAAAAGAAATTATTTCTTTTATAACTGTAAAATGTGAAATTATCCTCTCCCAGTATGCTTCAAAGCAGCTGGTTTGAGGGTTACTGTCCTTTAAAATTCTGAAAAATCCAAATGTAACCAGAATGTTTTTCTATATGCTGCTTTGATTTACTTTAATCCCATTTCAAAAACTTTCTGATTCTTTCCAGTATGTGTATTGATTTTTGTATACTTTTTCTAGAAAGTTGAAGAAGACACAATGCCGATCCGTCGCTCAGTGAATTCTTCTTCCCGGGAAACTCCTCCCAAAAGCAAACCTGCTGAAGGTGAAGAGGTCAAAGCTGGTACGGTAGTAGTTCTGTAGTGGACTGTTAATGTATATCTAAACATAGGCACATGTTCTGAAACTCTTGAAATAAACCTTACTGCCATGATTAAAATATTACTGATGCTTAGCTTATTTTCACAGGCTTTTCCTGGAGTATTGGGAAGTTGTATTTTGCAGCCACTCTTTTCAGTCTGAACCCATTTGTTTTGTCCTTCATATGTGGCAAAGCCCTGACACTCCAGGCATGAAAATAGAGCTCAATATAGTCCATTCTAAGCTTGCGCATTCTTTAGAGGAAAGGTAGGAATTGTGAAGTTTCAGTAGGAAGATGGCTGGAGATCGAAAAGGTGGAGCTAAGGAATGGAAAAACAAAGTATTTAATTTTTTTCTTTTTTTTCCTTTCCTGAACAAAAGGATTTTATCACAATGTGTCATAAAATCTAGTCCGCTATTCATGTGTCTGGTCTTAGCAGCTTCATCTCAGTTTCTCAGAATGTGTCATTTCAGTATCATATTTGGTTAGTTTCACTGACTTTGTCCTCTCTGGTGTCACACATAAATAAGTTACATACAAAACTAACTATTACACACTGTGTATTTTAAATGCATGATGCCTTCATGGGAAAACTGTGCGCAGGAACATAGCAGGAGCACTTCAGCTCCTTCTCAGAGATAGAGAGCCTGTCGACTGCATGGAGCAGTCACGGTGGACAGTTCTTTAGCCAAAAAGTGGGTAATGGCAGTTTATATGCATCTTATCAGGTAGGCAGCGCAGTCTCTACAGCCCATTCTCAGCTAAATATACTGGAGTTAATGTGCTTGGTAGGTTGATTTCTGACGGGATTTGATCCTGCTGATAGACAAGTGCTGCTGCCAACACATGTGCAATCGAAAGCTTTTCCAAGTCCAGAAAAACGTGATTGAATGATTAAAATCCGTCAGGCGCTGCAGTGTGTGATGCAGAAACACCAGTGTTCGAAAGCAAGTTGGTTATAAACAAAACTACTTGTATTTATCCACGTTTCTTGTAGAGATGTACTTTTTCTTGCATCTTTCTGAGTTAAAAACACATAAACCTCAACCTAGGGGAAAATCTTAGCATTTCATGGTACTGATTTCCTCCTCCCTTCCCCACCCAGGCCCCGCTGATGCAGGTTGATTGCAGGCAGTGACTTGTGGAGTAAGAGAAGACTGGGGGAACTAGTTCACTTTGAAAATCTTACATGATGATTGAAGTTATTCTGGCATTTGGTGGCTGACTGCACCTTATTGAACCTCTTTCAGTAGTTTCCTTCACTTCTTAGCTTACATTCAAATCATCTGTTTAAATTAGAGAAAAGAAATTGCCTGGTGGGAAATAATTTTGGGGGTGTGTTCTTAAGCTTTTTTTTTTTCCCCTCTGCCTTCCTGAAGAATAGAGGCTAGTTTTACGCAGTAACTTGATGCGTTTTCACATCTTTTAGACACAGAAGTCACCTCTGAGGAATCTGCCTCTGTTGGAGAAGAACAAGAGAATGAAACCCTGCCTGCTGCATCCAGTGAAGCAGAACAGCCAAAGGAACCTGAGAATGAAGGGAAGGGGGAAACAAAGTCCTCAGAAGAAACCAAAAAGGAGTAAGGCTTGCTTAGAGCTGAATTCAGGGATTTGGGTAGGATTCTGAAGAAAGTCAGGTTCTAGAGATTGAAAAAATGGTGGGAGGGATGGGGAAAATGGGATGGGTCCCTTAAAAAGGTGCTTATATTTCTCAGGAAGAAGCTACCAATCAAGTGTAGCTGCTGTTCTAGAACATGTGTAAGGCTGAATACAAAGACAGGGTCTCTCTTTTTTTTTTTTTTTTTTTTTTCTTTTTTTTCTTCTTCTCTGAAAGAAACACCAAAATGTTCTTTAAATTACTTGGTGTCAGATGTTCTGGGCTTTTTTGTTGTCGTTGTTCTGCTTGTTGCCTGGTTTACAGTGTCTTTTGTCTTACTATTGTTTTGTATTTTTCCTAAGTGAGAAGGATCAGTCTAAGGAAAAGGAGAAGAAGGTGAAAAAGACCATTCCTGCATGGGCTACTCTTTCTGCTAGCCAGCTCGCTAGAGCACAGAAGCAAACTCAGATGGCTGCCACCTCACGTCCCAAAATGGATGCTATCTTAACTGAGGCCATCAGGGTAAGCAGGAGACAAATGTTTCTTTTGTTCATCTGTTGCAAAGCAGAATAATTTGTGCGCCTAAAATCCACAATTTCAGCTTGCTGATGGTACAGATGATAATGCTGTCTGTTAGCAGGAAGCTTGCTGTGTAAGACACACATGCTTCTGCCTGGAAGCCCACGGAGCTGAAATGTGAGTCCATGATGATGCTGAGGGGCCCCTGTAGCTTATTCTTTTTGTTTAAAATTTGCTTTCCCCCCCCAATTACATTATTAGAAACAGCTAGGATGACATAACCTGGTTGATTGCTGTCATCATTTCATCCAGTGTGCCTTCTAGCCATATTTAACTTGATTTACGTTGATTAATCCATCTATTTGATACGTGCTTTTTTCAGTGTTAACTTACTCTAATTCAGGACAGATGGAAATACTGTAAACTAGCATTCCAAAGTGGTGTTTGTCTTGCTTTATTGTACCCCTCCTGGTTGTAGGAAGAGACCTGTGCTGTTGTAGTCACGCTGCTGCTCTTCCTTTGAGGCTTGGTTCATGCGCATTTCCTTCACAGGAGGCCTGGACTTCACCGGCCTTAATTGCAGAGTGGCCTTTCCAGCTCCTATATCTTCAAAATATGAACTTCAACTTAGGTTTTTTACTATTTACTAATGTCAATCCTCCAACTTCTTAAAAAAAAAAAAAAATTGGCAACTTGTTCTGACTTAATGATTACTCTATCTAACACTAGTAAAATGACTTAACAGTTGTGCAGCATTGGTTGGCCAAAAGGTGACTGTACTTTGTAGTAGCATGAAGTGCTTAAGCCATTATGTGTAATGGATTCAGAATGGGGAGTGGTTGATATGTGCTTGCTGTGCTGATTTTGTGTTGTCTGCTCTTCAGCTACACTCAAGGGGAAAGTTAAGTATTTTGTTAGTCATATTTTATACTCTTGAGTCACTGGAGGGGGAAAGGCCAGCCCTGGCATCCTGTGCCTATGTGCTGGCTTATATACATCAGTTCAATCTCTCTTCTTCCAGACCCACAGCAAGATAATTGCAGTGCAGGTGGTTTCTACTAACTTTTTGCTTTTGTTTCAGGCGTGCTTTCAAAAGAGTGGTGCATCAGTCGTTGCAATACGTAAATACATCATCCACAAATACCCTTCCCTGGAGCTTGAGAGGAGAGGCTATCTTCTAAAGCAAGCATTGAAAAGGGAGCTGGAGAGAGGAATCATTAGACAGGTAAGAGTTGCTTTGTGGAGCGGCACTGGAGGTGGTATTACTGAGTGACACAGCAGTTTCTTAAAGTTCCTTAGCAGGTCTCTGGGGTGATAATGTTCTCCCTTGTGGAGGTTAATCAACATCTGTCTCCACTTTGTTAGACACTGACAGAATTTCAGCCTTGTTCTGTCAATCGGATACTTCGTGCGGTTGTCTCTTGTGCAATGCATGACCGTTCCCAGTGTTGTGTCATACAGCATTGCAGCGGCATGTGTCTTCAAACCGAGTCTAACAATGTCACTTCCACAGCAGCACGTTTCTTTTACCGCTGTAATTTAAGCCTGTGGTATCTGTTAGGGTCTCCTGGTCAGGACAGCAGAGTATGCTGTGGTTTCTGATCTTAGTGACCTGTCGAGTGTGTTCAAATCAGGCTTCTGCCATAACAGCCAGGGTGACAGCGCATTCAAAATCTGCATAATCATGTCAATTAGTTTCTTTCAGGTTGTTATTATTCTGAATTACTTTGTTAAAGACTAAAATGGACTTTCTTTTGACCTAGGTGAAAGGAAAGGGAGCTTCTGGGAGCTTTGTGGTGGTGTCTAATGCAGGAAAAACTGTTCCAAAAGCCAGAGACAGAAAGGTAAGATGGATCATGTTAAATGATACTCTGAAAAATGTTGCACTGAAACATGTGTATCTTATGAAATGCAGCCGAACCCCAACCCAAACAGTGTTCTTCCTCCTTGCTGTACTTTTCTTCCCCAAATACAGTAATTAAAACACCCATTCCACTAAAATCAGAATCAGAAAGCTAGTACAAGAAACTAAAAACCAAGTAGAATAATCTAAATCTTAGTTTTAAAATGTTTACATTAAACCCCTAGGCTTTGGTTCAGAGGCAGAAAACTGAATAACCATGAAGCTCCTCTTCTGTCTTTACCTGGTAGAGAGAGATGCCTCTCAGGTATTGTAAGAGAGCTTTATGCTACTGCTGTTTTTGTTGTATCTGTTGCATGGATAAAAGGCTTCAGTCTTCAGGACTGTCAGGTGAACGTTTTTCCGTCAACTGTGAGGGCAGAGGGAGGAAGAAGAAAATGTCCTAAGGCTTCTGGAAGAAAGCTGCTAAGCTTGGGTGTGTATTGTTTTGAGGTAATAAAATGTGATGTGGTGTTTTGGAGCCTAGTCCTCACAATTAGTCGTGGTTCCAGCACCACTGTTCCCCACTCCCTGCTGCGCTGGGTGTCTGAAACACATTTCTAACACTGCAGTTACAAAACGCTTAGCTGGAATTGCTGATCCCCTTGCATCTTAGATGGGAGAACCCAGAGAGTATTTGAATGCCTTAGTGCTTATCTCCTGGCTACTGGGGACACCAAAAGTCATAGAATCATAGAATCCTTTGGTTGGAAAAGACCTTTAAGGCCATAGAGTCCAACTGTACCTGTCCACTACTAAACCCTGTCCCTAAGCACCTTATCTGCCCATCTTTTAAATACCTCCAGGGTACTGCTTCCCTGGGCAGCCCGTTCCAGTGCCTGATAACCCTTTCAGTGAAGAAATTTTTCCTAATAATCTAATCTAAACCTCCCTGGTGCAACTTGAGGCTGTTCCCTTTTGTCCTATCAAGTCCTAAAACTGAAGGAAACAGTGACACACTTGGTACTGGACCGCTGAAGGAAACTAATTGCAGTGTAACTTCTTTTAAATAGAGCTCACTGGCTCCACGAGAAGTTTGAGCAAGGCACCTGATAACTGCTAACACACCACTTTTCTTGACTGTAGCATATCGGCTGTCTTTGTTCCTAGTTACTTTCTCTGTGTTGCAGCAAAACAAATAGCTTCCTTTTGTTTTTGGTGAATTCAGCTAGCAGTCAAGTAGCTATCTGGGTGAGCAACACCCTCACCCATTTGACTGTTTGCAAAACTGCTGGTCAGCATCAGAATCATTAAACTTCATCACATTTCCCCCTCTGTCTTTTCTATGTAAGGAACAGACCATTTTTTTCCCTGATCATCCCCTCATCATATTAACAAAGGGATGGAGGAAAATTCAGAAGGGAGTGTTGGCTTCAATCAGGATTTTGTTCTGTTATCTGAAAAAAAAAAAAAAAAAAGCACTCCTGTTTAGCTGTTCATTTTTGGGAAGATTTGACCTGTATAAACAGGCCTTGCTTTTGGTTTTTATGTTTGGTGTCAATGTGAATCCTTTTCACCTGTCTCACTGAAGGGTAGCAGAGGAAAATGTCTATAGAAAGAGGAAGGAAACCATTAAAAATACAGATGTTGTTAAATACTCAGCAATTTATATTTGTAAAACTTTTCTAAGGCTCTTGTGAAAATTCCAGTCAAATGTGCTCGACTTTACTTAAACTGCTAAATTTTTTAAATTGTTAATTTAAAGAACTGCCTCATACAGAACTTGATTTTCCAGATCTGTGGCCAGTGTCAAGAGCACTTCTCCCCACCTGTGCATTGCTGGTTCAGAAAACCCCGAGTTTTAGGCCCCACTGATGCGTAAAAGTATGTGTATTTCAGAAAAGCACTTCCGCTTCGACTGCGGAGCAACAAGTCAAGCTGGAAGATATCCTGCCGCTGGCTTTCACCCGCCTTTGTGAGCCGAAGGAAGCTTCTTACAGCCTGATCAAGAAATATGTGTCTCAGTATTACCCCAAACTCAAAGTAGATATAAGGTAGGTGCAGGAGTACACTTTGGCAAGCAGAGCTGCAGAGGAGCAGTGAAAAGCAGCCTTCCTCTGGCTTTGCCTCACTTCACGGTGATTCAATCCAATATTTCAGCAGGCAGCAGACAGGTGGTGCTCTGTGTTGTAGAGCCTGCGGGAAAGCATGGGGAAAAGCTGTGCCTTTTTCTGCATCCCTCCACACCCAACCTTTGTTCCCGAAGCCAATGTCAGCATTGCTCTGTGCACCGCCACCCTTAACGAAAACCAGATACCTTTAACTGCGTGGATGTGAAGGCCTCTCCTTGGGATCTTGTCCCACCTGGTTCTGGATGCTTTAGGTGGCACGCGCTTACAGAAATCTTTAAGTTTGCCCATATGGAGCAGGTTAAGGCTTGGGGAGGAAGCAAATCTAGGAAAGCCCCGTGGGTCACTTCTTACAGGGGCTTATATTCAGTCCCTTGTTTGTCTGCGAGCTGACTGACTCATTGCCCACCGAGTCCAAATGTGCTTTTCAAGATGAGTAAATCCTTCCAAGTGAATCCTGTCTGTTTCTGGATATGCAGTGACACCAAGAAAGCATTGCAGTTCAATTTCCGCTAACGTGTGTTGTTCTTCTCATGTAATCAGCGCTTGCTGACAAATCTGCATTTAAAATGTCTGTATGTAGGCAGGTACCACTTGTAAGTACTGCTCTGCTCACACTCTGTGTAAAGCATTGTTTCTCTGTTTGTTTTTTAAGATGTCAATGTGTGTCAGTAAAGCTTTATCCTCCTGTATTTCAGGCCCCAGCTGTTGAAGAATGCCCTGCAGAGAGCTGTAGAGAAGGGCCAGTTAGAGCAGATCACAGGGAAGGGAGCGTCTGGGACATTCCAGGTCAGAGCCAGAGTTCATCTTGTTTTGTTGACTGTACTGACCACAGGCCTTGGATACGAGTTAACACGCCCTCTCCCCCCTCCCAGTTCCATTGGGTGGACCTTTCTTCAGCCTGTCATATTCAGGAGTTGTCAAACTATGAAGCAGTAGGACTCTTGTTCTCCTTTTGGTCTACATTTCTGGAGCAGACCCCCCGCCTTCCTTGCTTAGCGTGCTCCATGCGCTGCTTCAGCTCTGACTCACTAGCACAGTAGGGGAGATGGTGGGGTAAGCTTTCCTTTCCATCACTAATTGTAAGTGCAGTAGGTACCCCAGATGTCTTGGGTACATTTGGTCTGTGGGATGGAGGAAGATCTGATTTGTTTCCTTCCCTGAGTGATAGGCCCTTAGATTGCCACATCCTTGCAGTGTATGTGGGGACTAGGACAATGTGTTACCAATAAAAAGCACTCCAGGCCAGTTGACTGAATAGGCCTATCCTCCCAATTAAAGCTGGGAGAGCAGCGTTCCCTGTGCAGTGTTTTAATATAAAACGTATCTGTGCTAATGCAGGAGCGCCGACCCACCTGGTGCAGAGGAGCTTGTCCTGACCTGGTTTGGGAGAATTTTGTCTTGATGCTTTTCTCTTCCTCCTTGGAAAATAGCTGAAGAAATCAGGGGAGAAGCCCCTGCTGGGTGGGACTCTGATGGAAGACGCCATCCTGTCTGCCATTGCGGCCATGAACGAACCGAAGACCTGCTCCACCACAGCGCTGAAGAAGTATATCCTGGAAAACCACCCAGGGACCAACTCCAACTTCCAGGGTAAATTACCGATCTGTGTAACGTTTCCCTTTTACATGCTGAAAGAGAGGCCTGCAGATGTGGCTGTGCAGCACCTTTAAAATATTTGGTTGAGCTTGCTGGGGAGCTGACAGCTGCTCAGCTCTTTGTGCTGCAGAGATGCTCAGGGGTTTTAATTCCCATTAGTTCCTTTCAAGCCTGACAAAGGCCAGTTTCTGAGACATAATGCATGGTTCTCTTGTGTATAGCACGTTCCTAGGTAGGGGGAACAGTATTCAAGTACTTCATTGTTCTTAAATCACCAAGTTGATTTAATCTGTCTCTCTCTATATTGAAAGGCTACAGCTTGGCAGAAATGCAGTTCCTAGTTGCTTTTTGTTTAGAGAAGTTGCATAGTCCAACTTTTAAAAAAATTCACAAGCACCTCTCTTATTGATTTGTTTGAGGTCCTTCTTTGGCTTTGATTTTAAAAGGTCAAGCAAGTGAGGAGAGAAACTAATCCTGTTGTATTTGGGAAGGGCTTTGGCATGTCTTTTGTTCCCAGGAATGACACTCATGTCTGTTTTGACTTTTGCATTAGCAGAAGCAATACTAACAGAGACTTTAAAGTACATCTTCTATTGGCTTATTTGCATTATTTGCTCTGAGCCCCGATGCAGTTGTTTAACCCAGGCTGGAGGTCATCTGAAGCAGGATGAGCTTGCAGCAGTCTCTACTAGAGTCAAACATCAAAGTAGATCAGTGTGTTACTCTGGTGTCATAGTGCTGGTGCCATTCCTCAGGACCTGGGGCCGCAGAGGAGATTGCTGATCCCACACTCGTCACCTGGAGCTGAAGCATGGCATCAGCACGGCCGTTTGATGCAGGGCTTCCTGACATGTAGACGAGCGCAGTTTCCCTCCCAGCAGTGTGGGCTGAAGAAGTTGCCTGAGGCCTTCTGCCAATTAGGGACTGATGTCAAGTATGACTTCTTAATCTTGGGGCAGGGAAGAGAGTTTCCAGGCTTACTAAGCCCTTGCACGATTTATTTTCAGGACCATTGGAAATTGCCCTGGTCCTTTGAGGCCTGGATTTAGCCAGCCTCCGATGCTTGTCAGTCTTGCAAGCTGGCTAAGGAAATTTTAGCTTGCAATCTGTTGTTTTCTTTCTCCTTCCATTACATAAAAGGAATTTTGATGATCTCTGCTCTGTTTTAAGACCAACCGGAGGAAGATCTGGTGAGATGTAAAAGCAGGCAGATACACACTGCAGAGCCAGCGCTCTGCAGTCCTCCCCATTTTATACTTCATACTTATAACTGGACTTGACTGGAGTCAAATCCTTTACATGCTGCTGTTGATCTCTGGTACACAGAGTAAAAACAGCCTTACGCTTTATGTGTTGCTCCCTTTTATAGAAAGTATGAGATTTTTAAAGAGTTCTTGAACTACGTCAATCCAAATGTTGCAAGACTATTAATGACTACAATGAAATTACCTGTGCAAGCTCCTCCAGTGCCATTCAAAGTAAAACATTTCAGCAGAGGTATCCTGTAAGCAGGTGAAGGTATGGCAGCCTTCCAAATTATTCTCTGGGTGTGCAATGTCAGTTCTGGATAAAAACCCATTTCAGGAGTGTTGAAGAAGTGGTTGGAGTGAATACTTTTGCATTAATTGGACAGAACAGATTCAGATGACAGTTCAGCCAGCTTGTTTCTTTTGGATTTTTCTCTTTCTGTTCCTCAAGTGGACCTCTTTGGAACGTGCTTGAGGGTGGGCTTGGGTTTTCCCTTGGTTTGGAGGGAGCTAAATATGTAAGTGGTCCCACTAATTCAAGCTGAAAATGGTTTTGAACTGGCTAAACAACTTCAGCCCTTTGCCAGAGACAAAGATCCCCTGAACTTGCGCAGTTTCTGTTACATTTCTTACACACTGCACAATGGGAACAGAAGACTGGAATCAAAAGTGCATTGGTCATATTTCTAGACCAAATATTTTCCCTTTAGAGAAAAACAAAACCACAGAATGGGGAAAGATGCACCACATATGAAATTTAGAATGGGAGAAGGGCAATAGCAGTGTAAAGGCTTGATTTTTTAAAAAACACTTTGGAGAATGGTCTGAGGAAAGCTGAGATTTGGGTTAAATTTGGACAGAAGTGGTTACATGGTGCTGTTGAATGCATTTATAAAGGAGAATCCCTTGATTGTGACATCAAAAACCTGCGCTGTTCTCGACTTCTTCCTTTGGAGAATTTATAATCAGACTCGCTAAGTGTTCAGGAACAAATACTTGAATCTTGTATCTTCTTGAAAATTATCGGCAAGAGGGTTTCCCTTTAAATAAGACATACTAAAACTTCCAAACGCTGTGGTCTGGCTGGGTCTTACACAACAGCTCTTTGGCGAGTGCAGAAAGAAGCAGGCGGTGATGTCTTCATGAGCCTCAGGTCGCCAGCACCATTTCATTCCTCTGCAGGTGTCCTGAGCAAAAGAGACTTCATCCTGACTCTCCATCTCTGACTTCAGAAGCCACTACAGAGAGCAGGAAGGTTAGACAAGTGGATAAAGATAGCAACTCAACCTTCCTCTGATTTGTTTTTCTCCTCCCCTTCCCCCCGCAGTGCATCTACTGAAGAGAACCCTGCAGAAATGTGAGAAGAATGGCTGGATGGAGCAAATTTCTGGAAAGGGCTTCAGTGGAACCTTTCAGCTTTGCTTCCCGTATTATCCTAGGTAAAGAGCTTGGCTGTAAAACGATGTTCAAGATAAGCGTTGCGTAGGTCAGCCAGATAGCACTGCTGAAGTTCATAGGCTGACGTCCTATTTACAGGGAAGTTTGTGGAGGGTTTAATAACTGATGAACCACAATGTTGTCACCCATACTCTAGATAATGACGTTACTTGGGTGCCTGACTGTGAGTGAGCGTAAAGCTGACTTCATTAGCAAGGGAAGCTTTTAAGGGTAATAAAAATATTGGGCCCAATGTTCTCAGGTACTCTGTCGTGATGCTTTTTTTTTGCAGGATGGGGGCTATTTAAGTCTTCCCATGCTAAAACAAATTCAGATAAGCAGATAGTTCTTAACGCAAGGATGCTCATGAGGAGTCGGACCCAGCTGTTTGCCTGTCTTAATGCTGATGCGGAGGAGAGGTGGGAGGAGGGAAGTTGACCTAGATTAGTTTCTGTGAGACTAAACCAGCCTTTCTTCTCCTGCTGTGAGCGTATATTGTGCTGGGCTGCATGGAGCCTGGGGATGGTGAGTTAGCATCCCACCAAGAACCAAATGGCAGCGTAGTCATTAAAGTCTCTGCTTCCTACCTTCTTCTATTGCATACACACAAAGCCCCCAGTGGCTTCAGCCTGCGTTCAGGGTGGCTGAAGTCTGATCTCGTCCCTTCGTTGTCTGCCTTCCTGTGTTCGCACAGAAGGAGCAATGAGGAGGGAACTGGGGAAAGGGCAGCTGAGGGTGCGGCATTTCTGGTGACTTACAATCTGTCACGCTTCTGCCATTGCAGAGACTAAATAACATTGGCTTCTGATAGCGGCAAACACAAAACCTTGGGGGTATTTGTGGGTTAGGCTCAAAGCTGTAACCTTATGGGAGGATGGGCAGGAGTGCCTGACGAAGGCCAGGGTTACCCAAGGCTTGCTGACCCTGGAGTCAGATCCTTAGGAGTAAGTCACACTCTGACAAGAACCCTCTTGTAGCCCAGATGTGCTCTACCCAGAGAAGCAGCAGGATGAGGACTCTGACGAATCTGATGAGGAAGAAGAGGAGGAATCTGATGAGGAAGAAGAATCTGAAGAGGAAGAGTCTGAGGAGGAAGAGCCACCACCAAAGAAGAGGTATGGCAGCATGAGAGATAAATGGGCTCCTTCGGATGAAATAAAAGTGTCTGTCACAGCTGTAGAGCACACAGGTTTGTCTCTTGGTGTGGTTATTTATCCTCGAGCTGCTGCTCAGAGGTGTTGGAAGAAGATGTTTCTAATTATGCTTTGCTCCAGAGATAATGATCTCCCACATGCCTCAATTGGAAGCTTGCCTCTTTTTTTTCCTCCAGATGAGAAGAGAGCCTGGCTTTATTCTTTGTCTTGCCTTTAGTCTCCTAAGGTCGCCTTTTGCGCTTTACACAGGTGTGATGTTTCACATGGGACTTTTTGTATTTATTAAGTGTTTCTGCAGGAAAACTTTTCCCCACAGTATTATTTGCAGTTCTGTAGCCAGATATGAAACCTGCCTTCCTCAGAATGTGGATTTAAGATAAGTGTTGTTCGTTAAGTAATAAAATTCCATTTAGAGAGGAGAGAGAGTGCTTAGGTATCTTAATTGTTCTGACGATTGACTTTGATTCCTTGTCATTATTTGGATGTTTCTATGCCTACGCGTTCAAAAGGCGTTCAAAACTTCGCTTGGCAGAGCACTGTGGGGATTAAGAAGTGCTTAGTGTGGCAAGATCCACCAGAGGAGTTATTGCTCTTTGGGATGTAGCTAATGAAATGTACTGCTGCATAAAGGAACATCCGCGGTAAAGAATGAGGATGCCAAGATCTGCTTCGTTATGCAGATTGACGACAGCAGCTCTGTTCTGGGTAGCATTTGCGCCTCCACTGAGATCTTGTGCTGTCTTTCTCTCTGACAGGATGCAGAAGAGACCACCTCCGAAATCACAGAGCAGAGCCCCTCCAATGAAGAGAAGAGAGTCCAAGCCCAAGCCAAGAAAAACCCCTGCAGCCCGCCGGGGGAAAGCAAAGCCCCCTCCCAAGGTTAAAACCCCTGCTAAGAAAGCCAAACCAGCAGCCCCGGCCATCAAGAAACCCTCTGGTGGCAGCTCTTCCAAGAAACCAGCAGCCAGCGGGAGGAAGGAAGTAAAACCCTCCGCCAAGGGCAAAGCCACCATGAGGAAATCTCTCCGGGCAAAAAAGTAAAATTTTTCCACTGTCAGGGAATCCCATGGTCAAATCCACAATCTTGTTTTATAAGTCAAGGTGCATTTGTATTTTAGTTCTGATGCTTCAACACTTCTTTAATTTTTTTTATTTTTTTTTTTTCTTGAATGATGGGGGAAAAAGTTGAAAATTAAGTCAAACCAACCCGAGCATTTGTTAGATCTCAATGCTGTGCCTCGTGCCTGCCCCTCCCCTGGAACAAGTCATCTTTAGTTTCTGCAATAATTTTAGGACTTTTCTAAGACGTATATATGATCTGTACATTTCACAGTGTTCCTCTTGGGTTTGGGGGGGAGGGTTGGCTTTTAAAAATTCTTCAAAGAAGATCTTTATATCTTTAGACAGCAGGAACAGGATGATTGGGGGAATGTGATTCTTAATGAGAAGGCACAATGGCAGAAGAGTCCTCCCTAGATCCCCTGCATGATGAGGTCCTTAACGCTTCTGTGAAGAAGCAGTGTATATACAGCACTTGCACTGAGTCCTGGAGGTGCTTCTTTCTGCTCGGCCGTTAGAGCAACAGGCTGAGGAGGTGGCGCGTTTGGCTCCTTCAGGCCAGCAAGGTTTGTTTGATGGTGAGTCAGATCTTCAGTAAACAGAGGCTGCAGCGTCTACTGATTGTCTGATGCCAGAGGGGCTCCAAAAGGGGTGGTTCTTGATCAGGTGGGTGATTTGAATTAGCGTTTTCCACGCCACATCTGTTACCTTAAAACCAAAATATTATAAAAGTCTTCTTGAATCCAACTTTCAAGTGTTTTTAAGAGAGGAAGAGCCTGGGTTTTGTCACCTCTTGTTTACCCTTTTTTAAAGAGAAGTTGGAGAGCTATACAGTCGCTAATGTAGAGATGTTGATAAGTGAAGAACATGCAGTTTGCTAAAATAAAAATAAAATGAAACTAGATTCCAGGCCCACTTTGCGTGTCCTTTCTCTTCCTCACCACAGCTTTTTCCTCCTGGAAACGTAGAGAGGAGGGAATTACAGTCACTGTGGACTGCTGCAGAGGCAAATCTTTGTTAAAAGTACAATGCCAGCGTGAAGGAGTTGGGGCTGGTTTAGCCTGAGCCCCTGCCGAGCTCTGTAGTTGGACCAACATGTGACCTCTTCCTTCTGCATTTTCTCTGGAGGCAAAGGTGAGCAAGAAGAAAGCTCAGTTGGAACCTCTTGCTGCTCTTCTCCCTCTGTCCCCAGTCAGTGGGGACAAAAAAGACCAAATGAAATCTTCCCCCTGCAAAAGAGCAGCTGCCTGTGATCAAAACACGCTCCACTTGGGACGAGGCAAGGCTGGAGCTGCCAGTGTCACCTGGTTTAACGTGCTTTTGGCAAGAGTGTTGCAGGTGCTGCACTGAGAGGAGTGCAAAAAAGGAGAAAATAGCCTTATTGAATTTATTCTTTTCAGTTGCCATCCCAGTGTGCTGCCTCCAACAACTGGGAGTTTAAAAAAAAAACCTCTTACAGAAATGCCCTAAATTGTTCCCAGCCCTGTAACGAAGGTGCAAACTGCAGGTTAACAAAAATCACAGCTGCTATGAAACCCGGAGAGTGAAAGCCCCGATCAAAGAGTAATCTGCAGGGATGTAAAGCAATTAGAACCGTTAGCTAATGGCTCTTTCCCAGGGCTACTTGTACTGAAATGG